AAAGTGTTAAATCAAACCTAAATGTGTCAAGTGTAGCACATAGGTACCAGTGTGAACCCCAGGCAGCGACTGTCCTTCCTAGTATAATGTTAGGAAAATCTGATCCGCCTGTTTCTGCCGTTCACTTGTCTGGATTTGTCTTCACTCACTTCTGAGTCAACCGTTTTCCATCATCTGAAGGGTCCAGGTGTGGTCGCTGGGTGACCCGGGAGCTGCAAACACAGCGGTGCCCGGGGCCCACAGGCTCTGGTTAAAGCTGGTTTCTGTGTGACCCCAAGAGGATAGCATGTGTCCATATGTGGGTGTGTGTGCTGGCTGAAGCTGGGATGTGATAAACACCCTGGGCAGGGGGATCTCCATCCAGGAGTATGCTCCATGTTTTAGTGGTGAGGTCATTGGGAAAAAGTCTGGTCAAGCTGGAGGAGGAACAAACACCCACTCACTCAAACTCGTAGACAGATATTACCTGCAAACATTTTTCTCCTCTATTAGCCAGAACAGACTTTTTCATTTATCTGATCATATCTGGGCATCTTCATTCAGCTCGTAACATTCAGAGGGAGATTCTTTGGTGAGGAGGTCAGAGCTTCGGTACCTCAGGTCACAGCACCTCCTCGCCACCCTGTGTGTGTTCTTCTTGCAGTGTTGGTGCTGTTATGTTAGGTGTGAACTCTGGCCCTGTGGAGCATTGGGTAACAAGATTGCCTAACCCTGTTGTTGAGATGATGTTGTAACCCGGCGGACCTGGCCAGCGTTCGGCTGTCATGTGAGACGTTCTCCATCTTCCTCTGCCCAGGACGTCAGGGCATGAGTGTGAGTCTCATCCTGTGTGTGTGAGAGGAAGGGGGAACGAGGAATCCTAAAAGGTGGCAGCTCTCGGAGGGGGCAGACGTGTCAAAGGTTACGTGTGACTCTAGGTCTGTGGAATTTGGTGTTCCCAGATCGAACACTGGATACTCAGACATGCTCTGCTCACCGTAAACAGAAGCAGGAAATGATAGTGGTTGATTAAAAGAAAAAAAATGGCTGAAATGTGGCTCACAAATTAACCCTTTGAAACAATAATCAAACAACAGGAAGCAGAGATGTGGGGGGGGTTTCCCCTCCCTAGCTTTCCTTGCCTGGCTGAAGCCTTTCTACGTTATTGAACACATATTTCAGAAAATGTTCACACAAGCAGCACAAATTTTAAGATCTGTTCGATCTTGTTTGCATTTTGGAGATTTTGTAAAGAAGCGAATCTGCCGTCTGTTTTTATCAGCAAACTCCTTTTGCTACGTGATTTCCTCTCTATGCTTCAACAACACATTTATTTTATTGATTTCTTTTTTAAACATGCTGCTTTTAGGTTTAGTTTTTGTTTTTGCAGACACACACAGACCATGTGGGTGGGTGTGAATGCCAGAGATTTCTTTTCAGTAAGAAGCACTACAGTGTTTTTACTTTTGAGACTTTGTTCGCGACTTCCACAAAACAGGCATGATTGTCAAATTTCTCCGATACTCTAAAAAAGTAGCTCATGATTTTTGTTGTTTTTGTGGATGTTTTGCAGAGATGTTCTCTGTGAACGCTCAGGGAGGTTTGTGTTGGTCGCATTATGGGAAGGATCTCTGGATGAGAGCGTTTCATGTTCAAAAAAAGCTGATCAAACTGGGTTAATTTGATTTTACTCTTGGATGGAAGAAAGAAAGAAAGAAAGAAAGAAAGAAAGAAAGAAAGAAAGAAAGAAAGAAAGAAAGAAAGAAAGAAAGAAAGAAAGAAAGAAAGAAAGAAAGAAAGAAAGAAAGAAAGAAAGAAAGAAAGAAAGAAAGAAAGAAAGAAAGAAAGAAAGAAAGAAAGAAAGAAGAACTAAATTTTTATCTCCATTACAACATGAAAATACAAAGAGAAAAAAAAACTTGAAGACCTTAAACGTTACCAGTAACGTATATTTAAATTATTTTGCTACAGCCCATTTTACAGATAAAAACATATTTTGTTACGCCTTACACATGACAAACTGATTGATACATTTTTGTATCAATCAATAAAACAAATAAAATTCTTATTTTTCTTTGTATATAATATTAAAATGCCAAATCTCCTATAATATATTTCATTATCTAAGTTGAACACATTATATACACATACTTTAGTTTTAATGACTCCAATTATTTTTATTGTGTCACTTTACACCTACAGCTAAAGTTAAAACAGCAAGATTGGAATTTTATGTCACATCAATAAAAATAAGATTTTAATAAATAAATGAAGGCTTTGTTAAAATTATGTTTAATACCTATCTATCCCTGTGTGTGTGTGTGTGGGGAGAGAGAGAGAGCATTTTTCTAGGCAGTTGAAATAATTGATCCTGCTGATAAGTGTTTAAGAGGATCCACTTGTGGGAAGTTTTACAGTTTTACAGTAAAACATTTACAGCCTCTTTAAATTTTCCTTCCTGCTATTATTTCTGCTTTTCCTCTTTCCTTATCATTAGCGTTCTAAAGAGGATCACACACACACACACACACACACACACACACTAGATAAGTCAATGTTCCTTTTTTTAATGCAGAAAAAGTAAACAACTGTTATTATATTGCTGCAAACACTCGTTTGGGATTATTATGTGAATGAAATAAAAAAAATGTTTTTATCATTTTTATTTTCATGAAAGAGTGAGTTAGTCTTCCACTGACGGACACAGAAGGGAGGCACACCTCCATGGCACATGTGGAGCATATTTTTCCACCTTATTTCTTACAGTGAAAGATTTTGCTTGGTTTTCAGTGGAGAGAACGTTCATATTTAAGACTTTTACAGTTAGCATAACATTTAAAATGCAGGTTTTAAAGGAGCAATTTTTTATCAAATAAAATTTAATCACGGTTAGTTTCAGTTTCAGGGATTTATAACTGATGGAGTTAATATTTAAAACCCTTGGATTAAGGTTTTCCTTCTTTTTTTCTGTTTAAACTTCCTGGTTTCTCTTTTAATCCTAAGCCAACAGTCAGTTGAGTTTCTTATAGAAGCTTTTTTTTATATTTAAAGTAGTTTGATAAGATTTACACTAATTTAGGCTCTGCTTGACCATAGAGGCATTTTATTGCTATTTTAATTTTTTTACATAATCATGTAATTAGATAGATAGATCATCTGAAAATCACCTTTAGATTTCACTGAAGAAGAAAATCAGCTTTAACATTTTATATACGTTCTACAACATTTCTTATAGATTTTTGTTTTTGAATTAGAAAAATTCTATATCTATATTTTGAACCCCTTCTAACAGAAAAACAAGTTAACCTTGGACCAGTAAAGAGCTTCTCCACATGTACTCACGGATGCATTTTGAACACACTTAAAGGAGGAATTCCTGAGTCCAACATTCTCCATAAACCCTGTCCAGTTAGAGGAAGGTTTTCCCCAAGAAGAAACAGAAAATGATCAGACGTGTGAAGCAGAGACACGGGACTGTGTGGCTGTATTTTCTGCTGCAGACTGTCAGCTTTGAGCTTCTTTGTTGGTGGATTCGGTCGAGCTCATGACTCAGTGTTGCTCATCGTGAGATGATTCGCGCGCCATTTCTAAAAAATTCTCCTTCTCTCTCCTTTCTTGCCTCTCTACTTTTACAAGCTTAGTGAATGTATTTCTTTTTTTTTTTGTTTTAGAGACATTTTTAAATTTATATCAAGGGTTCCCTTTAATATCTATACATATATGTATTATAGCTTCTTTAAATGTGTGGAGCTGAGGGGGATTCAAGCCTGATTTTCCCTCCGAAAAAACTACAAACTACTTTATTATTTTTCATTTTTTGCCATGAGTTCAATGCCAATTTAAGCGATTTAAATCCAAAGTGCAGTTCAGAGTCTCTCTGCCTGCTTTATGCTCCTCTACAAGTCGGATATCAACTACTTGTTCTAAAGTTAATCATTAAAAGGTTGTAAAACCCAGTCATTTAACACAAAGTGTTTCTCTTCTCACCATAACATAGGTGTGTGTACATGTAGGAGAGCGTGGAGGTGGGGAGGAACGGAAATGACTTGCCTCCTTGAGAGAAAGTTATCAGCCATAAACCCAACCGTATGTGACACTCTGCCCACGCAGAAGCTGCCCTGAAATCTTTGATGTGCCTTTTTGTTTTTTTTTTTGACAAAAAAAAACTAAGATGCGTACGTGGAAAAGCAAGGAGCGCGTTGATCTGAAACATCAGGGGAGGCTTTCTTCTATAAGGGAAAACTAGTGGAGGTCTTTAGTAGGTATTTGTTTAGTGATTAATCACTAACTCCAGGGATGGGCCACTGATTTGGCTATTCTAGGCCATTCTCTGCCGGCTCTTACATCTTTTTTTTTTTTTAGCGTGTGTAAGAGGGCACGGAAGAAGGCGGGGGGGTGAGCAGAATGCTTGTAGTCAGTGACTACATTTTGTAAAGGGTTTCCTAATATGGGCTGTCTTTACAGCAGCACCGCCCCCCCACCTCCCTTCCAGTGGGTCATCCCCCTCCCTCCACCCCCCCACAGGTCTCAACCAGTGACGACACAGCTAGGGTACGACTCACTTCCTCATTAATTGGCTGAAACCAGTTCTTACAGGAACCGCCTATGATAAATGTGAGAGTTCTGAGAAGTCATTCATTTCTCCTCGTTGCAGCGGCAGAGGAGGCACTGCAGGGGAGGTGAACGAGTTCACCGATGTGAGAGAGAGAGAGGGAGGGAGAGAGGAAGCTGAGTATGTGTGTGAGAGCAGAGAGGACAGGAGAGGACTGACTGCTGCCGTCCGCCGCTGCCGCATGAGGACCAGGAGGACAACTTTTATTTTCCTTCTCAGTTTATTTCACTGATCCTTTCAGTCTATTATTTTTTTGGGGGTTGTTTTTGATTGTCACAGCTTGCTGTGGTTTTATTTCATTTATTTGTAATGTGTGTGTGAGTGTAGTAGTGTAGTGTAGTGTAGTGTAGTGTATAGGGGATGAGTGGTTTGCACTCGTTGCTCTCTACGCCTTTCTCTCTTCCCAAAGAGAGGAAGCGGGGGCCAGCTCTGTACAGTACAGGAGACAGGACAGCATGCCTCCCTTTGTTGCTGCCCTTGGGCTGGTGAGTAACAATGATGTGACGTGATTTGTACCCCCCCCCCTCACCCCCTCCCTATCTCCCTCTCTTCCCTCTCTTTCTGTTTCCACCCACCCCTCTCATCCTCCCTCTCTCTGTTGGTGGAAACAGCGCTGTTCCTCTGCTGGGTGCGGCACTGCAGAAGCCCTTCAGGGAGTACTTGGAGGCCCAGAAGGCCAAGCTGCACCATGTCACCGGAGAGGGGACCCCAACGGTAAGAACCAAATATCACCCACATTATGCCAAGACAAAAAAAAAAATGCCTCATTTTTTGTCTTTTACATAACTGCCCTATTTTCAGCCTGAATTTCACCAAATATCAAATAATAACTAAAAAACAAATGAAACTTTGAGCTGATTTCTTTAGGTTTAGTTGCTTCTCCTGTCAGCTGTTGGTGATCCGGTAAATTATACAGGCTTGTTTTGGGGACCAGAGTGACAGAGTGGGTTTCGCGCTGCTTCGGACCAACTTTGAGTGGGAAAGGTGGAGGGGGGGGGGGGGGGGGGGGGGGGGCAGCGTGGGGTCCAGCTTCACCCGAACTGTACTACTGTAGCATGGGGCGTGCTGACTCATGCTCCATCTTACCAATGGGAGAGTGTGTGTGAGTGTAGTCACTCCCCTCAGTGCCTCACACACACACATGCACTCGGTGCCCCGTCTGAACCCAGAACTAACTGTAGACCAAAGCCACCCACCCCTCCCTTGTGACAATCCATCACCCCCCCACATCTAGAACAAAAAGAGCCAGTTGTAGCTAAAGCCTGTTTCTTCTTTAAAAGCTGTTCTCTCCTCTTTCTCCTTTCCTTGCACTCAGTGATTAATTCAGAGCGTTATTTTTTTCTCTAGTGTACGAGGAAGAAGAAAAGACATAATGGATAGACTTAGAGGCGTAGAAGGACAGATTAAGGCATTTTCTAGAACAATGTTCCTTTTTTTTTTTTTTTTTGTCTTGTAACCTGAGCTTCCAGCAGTTACTGGAGAGAAGCAGGGCAATTGAAGTCGGTGGAGGCAGGCTGCAGGCTGGGGTCACTGGGGGCTTTATAGGAGGGGAGGACGGCGGGGGCTGCCGCGTGTTTTATTACCCCTGATCTCTATCTGTCCTGCACATGGACCTGGATCCCCACCTAGCCTACAGCATCAGGAGCAGAGGGGAGAGCAGGGGGTGCGGCAAATGCGGGGGTGGAGGTGGAGAGAAGAAGGGGGTGGCCCTTCTCTTACTGACCGAGCTCTTCTCTCTCTCTCTCTCTCTTTCTGTGGTTCCTGGTAGGAGGAGAGCTGGCTCTCGTGGCTCTTCGAGAAGGTTGTGGTCATCATGGTATGCTTCTTTGTCTGCTCCATTGTCAACTCCATGGCGCAGAGCTATGCCAAGCACAAGCGGCAGGAGAAGTCCTCGGACAGCAAGACGGAATGAGGGCCAGCAAGGTGTGGGGGGAGTTGGGTGGGTTGGGGTCGATCGTATCGGACCACAAGCCCTTCATATCTACTCTCCCTTTTGGCTGATACCCCATCATTATCCTAGGCACACAAAAAAACGGCACCATCTGGTTTCTCTCTAGCTTCTGTAACAACATGTTTATCTTCAGCTTGGACTTCCATTTGCTTGTTTATGAAGGCTCTGCAATTTTGGTCGCAATTTTGGTATTTCTGTATGTTCTCTCCTGCAAAGGTAGGTGCTCGCTGAGACATGTGGGGCTGTATGTAGGCATCCACGCTTTGAACTAGTGCTGAGTCTGAGTGCTGAGTTTTTTTTTCTATTTAGGATATTATAGCTCGTAGATGTTTGATATTGGCTGTTTAGATAAGGAACGTAGTTAGAGCTGAATCATTTCCATTTCATGTGCTGCAGTTGTAGGGATGGCAGTGGATGCTTTAGGCTCCACATGGTGTAATAGGTGACTTCTGTGCAGGATGTAGTATTTTGGATAGGTAATGATAAATGACTCCTGGATCACCCCCGCCGGTCCCTTTGTCTCCCCTCATTGTTCTGCTTCCAGGAAGAGAGCGCATGAGTCAGCCCCGGGGGCCACTTTGACCAGATGCAGGGTATATATTCAATCAGATCTACAACGTTGTGTGTGTCACATGTAGATAGCGGGTTGTCTTAATGTGGTCGCAATATTTTTCGTGGATTAAAGCAGATGGTGAGATCGGACTGCTGCCTGGTGTGCTAGATGAGAGAGAAATCTTCTTTGTTTCTACTTTTCCTTTGGAGGTTTTTCCTTCTTTTTTTTTTTTTTTGGTACCAAAAGAAGGACACCAAGCTGTGATCCACCACCTTCCCCTGTTTCTTTCTTCTTTTTTTCTTATTTGTTTTCTCTATAATTGCCAATGAAATGTGCAATTTTCCTCTCCCTGTGCTGGACTGAGAGCAGCGGGGACGCTAGAGCAGCAGGGAGGAGGGATAGAGGAGGGGGGGGGGGGAGGGAAAAAAAACCTCCATCTCACAGTGAAAAGCGTCTGTGCCGTTACCTCAGCTGAACCCTCGAATGAACTCGTTGCACTCCCTCAGTCACGGAGCCAGGAGACGAATCACTCGAGTAGATTCAAAACAGAGGGGTACTGTTGGGTGAGCTGAACCCTGTGCACCGCACCGGCTCTTGCCTAGAACATTCACATGTTCTTTTTTTTCCTCCCATCATGGTAAGTCGGATTAGGACTCTCTCTCTCTTTCTTTCTCTCTTCTTTTTGTTGAAGTCATTGTTTTCTGTGTCCATGCATACATCTTCAGGCATGTCCGTCACTCTCTCGGCCTGTCAGATAGCTTATCAGACTGGTGTTGGCTGTTAAGATTGCAAGGCGACAACAGTCTGTAGGCTGTCTGACATTTCGGGCTCTTTCATCTGACCAGCATCCTGTCGTGTCCTCCTCCTCCTCCTCCTTGTTGGTATATCATTGTTTCAGTTAGCATTAGTTCCCATTCAGAGGTGTATGTATTACGATGTCACTTCTCTTATCCAAACCGCTTGCGCAACGTTGGAGTTGCGGGTCTATTGTTTATTTCCTCCGTGCTGACGTCTGTGAAGGTTTTTTTATTTTTTGTGTGGCTTTGTGTGAGGAAGTGTGTTTTGAAAATGCAGATGCTGGTGTGTGAGATGTGTGTGTGTGTGAAAGCTGACTCTGTGTTTTTGAGTTTCCAGAGAATCCAGACAGTACACACCTCATTGCAAAACATCACATTGTGACACCCAGCCTTAGGTATAGTACACCAAGTCCTCAGCTTGTTTCCTCCTTCCCCTTTTTTACACTTCCCTCTTCTGTTGCAATGAAACCTTTCTTCTGTTTCTCAATACTCACTTTTTTGTACGAGGTAACACTTTATTAGAACAGCCCTGTTAGTTGTGCGTGTGTGTGTGTGTTTTTTTTTAACCCACAAGTAAGTAAATATAAAAGGCTGAAATTAGTCTGACCTTTTTTTTCCTCTTTATGAGCAAACATGTTGAACTTCTTTAGGTTGTAAAAGTAAAATCTCAGATTAAGCTGGAATGCCTTCCTGTCATAAGGAATGTTTTTCTTGGCCGGTTTCAGGATGTCCTGTTCCAAAAGGGAGCCCCTTTTGGCACAACCACCTGAATGTGTTTGTGTAGAAACTGGCTGTATATGTTGGAGGGTGAGTTCCTGTTTATGATAAATGTCTGTAATTAGCTTTTACGGTTGTATGCATTATTCTAACCTGTACTTTTATCTTTAATAAAGCTTAATTCAAAGAAAATAAATGAAAAAAGCCTGGTGTGGTGTTTCTTCCGTGATGAGTTTTAAGCCGGGTCCACGCTGACCCTTTGAGCCTCAGAAGAATCTCACATGTCAGCCAAGAAACAGGGATAGGGAGGATGGTTAGTCCCTCACAACTCCAGTTTCCACGTCTAGTGTTTCACATCTAAGGGGTTATCACATTACCAGATGTGCGCCCGCCGCGCTGACATCATCTCCATGTTGTCAGAGTCCAAGCTAGGAGTTCAGAATTATGGCAGCGCTTTGTTTTTTCTAAGAAATGGAATAAAAAAGATATATATAATATGCTGAATTTTGCACCATCTGCTAAAAAAACGTAGATTCATCCAACAATTTTATTAGCAAAGAATAGAATAAAATCTCTTTATTGTCCTACAATGGGGAAATTCTGGTGTTTACAGCAAAAATATTATAGGAAAAAATAAAAATGTATAAGAATATCATAATAGTGAAGAGTTAAAAGATAAACAATAAAATACTGTACTGTAAAGTGTTTTAACAACATAAAACTTTGCACCTGGAGAATAAATAACCAATAAACAGCCATGGATATTTTTACAGTAATGGATATTTGAAAATAGCAGCAACATCAGAGATGTTCAAAATGACAGCAGCATGTTATTTAACTCACTAAGGTAAAAATTGTGCAAAATCAGCATAAATGTAACTTATAGAGGTTATAGCTATAGTCTTACAGCTGATGGGAGATTTTAAACACTTTTTTATGTAAAAGAGAGTTGAATTCAAATGTAAAAACGACCATAAAACATTTAAAATACTTTATATTTTTTATTTAATAATGGGGTGCTGTTTATCTTAATGCTACACGCTGCAGGTCTGACCTCAGATCAGAAACAAACACAGCATCATCCTGAGGTCTGATGTGTGAGACCTGTTCTGCTGCCCCGTTCCCAGATCAACCACACCCAGAGCGCCATAACGAGGAGCATCTATCCCCACCCACAGGTCCTCGCCCTGGGCTTCGCTTTAAAGCCTTCAGCTCCTGCCTGTCCAAACAGGCGCTTTGAGTCCCACCCCTCTGATTTCTCCATATGCTGCTCATACTACAGTCAGCTCAAATCTGAAGGATCTGGTTTAATTTCTGGCACTGCTTATATTCACATGATTGTGTGTCCCCCCCCACCCACCCAAACTGCTTCCTGTCAGCAATTTAACCACCGGGGGGACGCTGAAATATCACTGACTTCATCCACCACCCACCCACAAGCCCACTCTGCATTTGGTTATCCACTTAGTTCCTTTCACACTCTGTCTCATTAAATTATGCTGACCGGGTGGATTTCTTTCTCTTTTTTTTTTTAACATTTACATTAAATCACATCACGGTTCTTTTGTTTCATGAGTAGCAGCCAGTGACCAAGACCGAAAAGATCTTTGCAAAGAAAAATCCCAAATTAAATAAGATTCAATTAGAAAATTTCATAATTTGTGGATTGCAAATTATTTGAAGCCTGTTATGACTTATTTACAGCTTACATAATGCGTCCCAATATTAAAAGGGGGTGTGATTTTAAGGAATTACTACTGGATCATTTTTATAAAAGAAATTAGCAAATGAATAAGCACCTATAAAATAAAATTAAAAAACTGTAAGACCTTAAAAAATAATCAACCCCTTGGAAATGTAGACATTTTTGCAACCACACAATTCACTGTGTTTTGTTAAAAGCAGAAACATGATGAAGTGTGGTTTTTACATTTGCATTTAAAAACAAAGCTGGGGAAAGTACTCAAAAAATTTATTCAAGTAAGATAGCACTAATTTAACCCACAATTATAAAGTAATCATCCAAGAAATTACAAGTAAAAACTAAAACAGTACTGAGTAATTGGTGGCTCTTAAATTCTGATTTAAATTTCAGAATTCATGATTAGACATTTATGTGACATTTGGTTTTCTAACGTATGAAATATTCACATAAGCTCCGAAAACCGATCTTTACTGGAGGTTCTGCATATATGTTAGAAAAGGATACAGAACTTCTACCGCTTATTGTATTTTTATCTGATGTTGGAACATTTAAAATGACTCACGGTGGGTAAAGTACCTAGATATTTTACTCGAGTAAAAATAGCCAAACTATAACAAGAATATTACTGCAGCAAAAGTAAAAGTCACAATGTTTTAAGGTGATTATAAAAAAAACAAAACATGAAATGCTTTTTTTTTTTATTTCGCTTCCCTTTTTCTAAATCGCTTACATAAATTGTTGTGTAATCCAGCTGAGTTTAAAACCAAAGTTTCATTTAGTTCCCCTGCAGTTCGCTGTGTTGTATTATATCGGATTACTTTCTGAGAAACACTCTGAAATGTGTTGTTGTTAAAATCAATACATGGGTTCCTGTTCAAGCTGACATTTTAGGCAAGGACAGCATCAAACATCCCATGGTGACTCTGGTGGAGGTATAAAGATCTACAGTTCATGAGAGACAAACTACTAACAGAACAATTTCTGTGCACCAAACAGACCAAACCTTTATGGAGTCACAAGAAAAAATAAATACTGCTTAATAAAAAGATAGATATTCAGTTCAGAGGTTGATCTATGTTTTATGTGTAGCAATAAAAACTAATTATAGCATGGCGGTGGTAGCACTATAATGTGGGAAAGCTCTTCTGCAGGAGCAGGAATGGAGGGAGCTAAACATGGAGAAAATGTTTAAGGCTGCAAATTATTGAAACATGACGAAATCCCTGCTCTCTGCAGCTTTGTGTGTTAGAATCCAGATCTGAATAATATGTGGAGTTACTAGATTCTCTCGGAAATATTTTATTGAAGATAATTGGTTTATGGAAAAGTTGTAGGTAAACAAACTA